TAAGTACCAGCTCTGGGGCTGCCAACTCCTCCACATCCCAGGCATACCAACAAAATGCTATCTAGCACAGCATGCATGTGATCTTTTAAGAGGTTGCCTACTCAACAGAGACCCACTCCAGACTTTTCTGCTGGGCATTCCTGGGGCTCTCTGCAGGCCATGGACATGTTCAGCTTGCAGCTAGCAGCTCCAGCTTGGGGTGTGATTGTGTCTTGCGTGTCTCCTGGCATGTTTAGTTTGTAGTCTGTCCTATTGACCATCATGCACTTGGCTATTCTAAATAGCAAAAGCTCAGAACATACTCTAGTCATAGCTGGTGTAGGTACAGGTTTCACTAACTGTGTAACAACATCAGCACCATATAGTTACAGGGTCCCCAGCCCTTCAACATAATGATAGGGAGCAGAGCCAGCCCCTGCCCCACTGGCATACTTCAGCATGGCTTTGAAGGTATCTGAGACGGTGCTTATACACACTTCTGTCTTAAGTGGTCTTGAGGTCAATGTCCTTAGCTCTCAGACAGTCAAAGTCATCAGCATCCTTCCTAGATAAGGACTCCGGCTTCTTGGCCTAATTAATAACTCGCCAGCATGAAGTGAATTGCCATCCAATGAGAGCCCTATCCCTCGAGTGCTTGGAGAATGAAAGTATCTTAAGTGTAGCCGCTCATGGTGTGTGTAGGTGTTTGCAGAAGTGTGAGCTCTTTATGTGGTGTCATAGGCAGGTCTTGCCAGATATTCCCCTGTGAACACTGGCCATGGGGACAGTGATATTTGGTCAATTAGTGATGGTCACTTGGGAACAGAAATGGAACTACATGTTACATGTTCGTGGGTGTACTTAAAAAAGAAGCATTAGATACTGCCTTAGCCAGCTTTAACTGTCATGGGCCTAGAACCCCCTGAGAAGAGAGTCTCAGCTGACGGATTGCCCAGATCATGTTGGCCTGTGGGCACGCCTGTGGTGGATGTCCTGATTACTGTTTGAAATCAGAGAGCCCAGCCCACTGTGAGCAGCCCCATCCCCTAGGCTCTGTAAGAACGCTAACTAAACACGCATCAGTCTGTGAGCCAATAAGCGGTGTCCCTCCATACTTTCTGCTTCAAGTTCTTGCTTGAGTTCTTGCCCTGACTTCTCTCAGTGATGGACTGTGACCAGGAATTATCAACTAAATGAAGAATTTCCTCCCCTAAGCTGCTTTTTCTGTTTTTTTTTTTTTTGGTTGGTGTGCTTTTATTATAGCAACAGGAAAAAAAAAAAAAAAGAATAGAAATTGTGCCCTGGGTACAATTAGAAATGGGTATAGGCACTAAAAAAAAAAAGTACTCTGTAAACATTGTAGGCTTGGCTCCTTTGCCTGGCAGAGTTTATGAAGGTATAGAAATGCTTCAGAGTGTGACTACTGGCCAGAACTGTGCATCCTGGGAACTGTACCCTGGCCCTAATGGGCCTGCTCACCACTTCCATGTGCTCTGTGCAGCCCCGGACAGTGGTTTGCCCCCAAGTTTAACATTTCTCCTTATATATTTATGTTTGAAAACAATACTTGCTTGTGGACTTCTGAACTGTGTATTAGGTGCAGAAACGTCATCTCGTAATGTTCATATTTTTCTTATTTTCAGTTTGACAAATGCATTCCTGTGTCGGCCCTGAGGGTATCTTTTTTTTTTTAATGTGTTGTCATTGTTTTGAGATGAGATCTCATTAGATAGCATGGAGCTCACTCTGGAGGCCAGGCTGGCATCAGACCTGCAGCCGTCGTCCTGTTACCTTTGGCTCCCGAGTGCCGGGACTGTAGGTGTGTGTCACCACGCCTGACAAAGAAAACGTTTTTTGGTTTATTGTGTCACAATCAGTACAAGTCTTAACTCACGTGGAAGTGGAGTCAGTCAGTACATATAAGTGCAGAGTTTTACTCCCATGGAGGAGAATCAGAATTGTTGGCTTTCTAGCATATTTCCCCCTGTGTTCGGAAAACTCTTTAATTTTGAGTCCTGAGAGAGTGGGAACCAGTGGGCAGGGTGCTGAGTAGATGGCAAGGCCGTGGTGTGGGTAAGTCAGCCCACACTGTCTCAGCTCATTGTGCCAGGAGCAAAGCCAGGGCCACAGCTGGCAGACACTGGCATGGCCAAGTAATTCCAGAAGCCGTAAACTTTAATTCTTTATTTCTTGGGGCATTTTATGATCAAAGGACAACTTGAGAGGGTGAGTTCTCTCCTTCCTCTGCGTGGGTCTCGGGAATCAAACTCAAGCCCTCAGAGAGCAGTGTCTTTACCCGCTGAACCGATTGCTACCCCAACTGTGGACTGTTTGGTGGTGGTGGTTGTCGTTTTGAGACCGAGTCTCCCAAATTTTATTCTACTTAGGGTACCTAAGCAAAATGTTACCTGTGAGCACTGCCTGGGCACTCCTCCAGGCCACAGGTCTAGGCACCCAGCTCAGAGTTCTACCTTCGAAATTGTGGTCACATACACCTTAAGCTGTGTTCCAGTGTAGTCTCGCCATTGGGATCTGGGGTATCTGGGGAAACGAGGGCTTCTGGGTACCTGCTTTCTCAGAGCAGCTAGGGTGGCTTGGAGATCCTTGGTCACCTAAGGTTCCATTTGGTTCCCCGGGGACTCCGTCCTGTTCAGAAGGTGAGCTCTGTGCCAGACCCCGGGGCTGCCTCGCCAGTATCTTAATGCATCTAGATTGTGCTTAAATGTCGTTTGGCGAACAGCAGGAGGCCTGCAGTTGAGAGCAGCAGCCAGGAGTGCATACGCACCCAGGCGCGCGCTTTCTGTGGCACGTGGACTTTAAGACCCGGGCAACCCTGAGCTGGTCCTTCTGACCTCTCCATCTGAATGTTTTGTGCTCCTGTGGGTCCAGAAGGACTGGCCGCCTGGGCAGTCAAGTGTCCCTCCAAGGCCTGTTTCCGTAGACAGTGACAAAGACTTGGGAATCCTCTCCTTGGCCTTTCAGGAAAACCACGGTAGAAGGTTATAGGTCTGTGACATGTAGACCCACCCTTCATCAAGGGTGTCCAGCTTCCAGGGTACACGGGGCTGAAGAAGGTCATGAATGTAGACGAACACACAATCACTTAAGCTTTTGGCAGTTGTGTGTATTCACTGTGACTTGATTACCCCAATCTCAAGTGTGAACTTTGTAGATGACAGTGTCAAAAGTTTGGACACCTGTTAGTTTCGTTTCTGTCACTGAGATAAAATGCCCTGACGGAAGGCAACTTCAAGGAGAAAGGGTTATTTCAGCTCCCAGCTCCAGCTTATAGTCCTTGATTGGGAAGTTAGGACAAGAATTTGAAGCATCTGGCCACATTGTATCCACAGTCAGGAGCAGAGAGAGAGAGATGAGTGTGCCCCCCTGACTGTTCAGCACACTTCATATACTCTTGTTACAGTACACTGCCCAAAGCCAGGGAATGGAGCCACCCACTTCAGGCCACGCTTACTAAAGCTACCTTCCCAGGTGACTCTAAAGTATGTCAAATTGGTGATTACAGCTTACCATCACGACATCCTTGTTAGAGAATGGACAGAGGAAGCATTGGCTGTGGTGGTGAGCTTTATCATCATCATGGACCGAAGATGGACACGTTCGTTTTGAGTTTCTTAGGTGTTTGGGCCTTGTGGGCCGAAAGCTGCCTTAGAATGCGTGTAGGCAGAGTCGTCCTGACACGTTGCTAACTGGCAGGAGTCTCTGAGGACTGGATAGGCTCAGAGGGCCTGGAAGACCAAGGAGGAGTCCCTCCCTTCACTCCTGTAAGTGGCCTTCTTCGGGCGTTTTGTCATGGCAATGAGAAAAATCATCAGTGCAGGCTTCACTTAGCATATCGTAGTGGCTGTTCCATACTGCCTCTTAGCAAAGAGCTCTAACTTGTGTGTGTGTGTGTGTGTGTGTGTGTGTGTGTGTGTGTGTGTGTGTGTGTATGCATTCTTGTGTGAATACATAAGAATGCATGTTTCTTTCAGCCCTATCCCTTATCCACCAAAATCAGAACTCTGATTTTTTTTTTTAAGTACCTGGTTTTCAAGGAGAAAAATCTGAAAGTTGACCAGACTTGGGAACTACTAATGGGCCACTCACTTAACCACCCCACCTCATGAAAACTTTCCACTGAAACAGTTTAGAACTTACTGGGTTCTGAACCAAAACAAGTAGGAAAATTAAAAATGATGACACCTGTAGCTGGGCACACCTTCTCTGTGAGTTCAAGGCCAGCTGGTCTACGTAGGAAATTCTGGACAGCCAGGGCTATGTAGAGAGACCCTGACTTTAAAAAAAAAAATGCCAATATCTCCAAAGATCCACATATCTCTCTAACAGACCCATTCACAAGCTGTAGGCGTGATTGGTTGAGCCTTAGAAAAAAAGCACCTAATTATATTTTTGAGTCTAAAATTGGTGTGACCAATAACGTATTTTGATGTTGAGCAACTTAATCCGGTCATTAAGCCTACAACAGAACTATCTTTCTTCACAGTCAGTATGAGCTCTGAAGCCACTGGGGTGACTTTTTTATTCTGCAGAGTCTTTACAAGGTCAGGAGTCAAGGTGTGTGCTGATCATACAGGATAGCTGCCCCATGAACAAGGTCCCCTGGTACCAGACAGTTGACTCCCAGTGGGTGAGCCTGTGTGGTGGATGGGTTAGTAGGAGCAGCTTCCCATGGTATTCTTTTTGTCCTGTGGTGGCTCTTTCCCTGGACTGGCTGGTTCTCTTGTCTTAGAGATGGTAGTAGGGCCACCCGTCTGTAATAGTTTTGTGGGCAGTTGTCTTCCTTCACCATTGCTCAGTGGGGCACCATTGGGGCTCACGGCACCCTTTTCCTCCACGATCTTGTGCTGTACGATGCGTCCGTCGATGTGCCGCGTGGGCAGGCTGACAGCAGAGTGCGCAGGTCGGGTACGTGTGCCAGCGTGAAGCCCCGTAGACGAGGTCCTGCTGGCTTGTGTGGTCCGCAGTCCGTCGTGGTGTTCATCTGACTTGTTTATTCCTAGGGAATGTCACTAGTGCGTCTGGGTCTCAGATGGCAAGCGGCATCAGCCTGGTCTCCTTCAACAGCCGGCCCGACAGCATGCACCAACGCTCCTACTCAGTCTCCAGTGCCGACCAGTGGAGTGACGCTACCGTCATTGCAAACTCCGCCATCAGCAGTGGTAAGAGGGGGCGCAGAGCGTGGCCATCCCCAGGGCCTCTGTGAAGGCCCGGGGCTGGGCTTAATGCCCGGGGCATCCATGCTCCCCGGGGAGCATGGTGCCCTGGGGCTGCGATGACCGTGGCACACATGTCTCACCAGTCATCTGTGAGCACTCTGTCCTTGCTCTCTGTCTCATGCACATCCCATCATTCATCCGTTCTCTGGTCAGGGTGTAGACCTTGACTCCTCTTCACTGGTCAGATTTGGATGGTGAGGCTGCGGACGGGGCAAGTGTCTCTCACCTGTGGTTATGTGACAGGGATATGGTGAGGTGGAAAAGGGGGGTCGGGTGTTTCATGCCAGTCTCCTGCCCTGTGTGAGTCGCCAGCGTCTTGCCATCTGCACATCGTTTGTACTGCTCAGTCAGTTCATTCTGCCTCTTAGTCTTCAGGGCTCCTGGGGTTGCTTCTAAGTTCTGGGGAATCCCCTCTGCCATCATCTCTTCTGGATTCCCACAGTTTTTGACAAGTGTGGCCTGCTTCTTGGGGGACAGATGTGGCACCCTGGAGACGGCCTTTTGACGTATGTGTGACAACATGAATTATGCAGTGTGCCCGTGGGCTGACTGGTGCAGCTCGCTTTGCCTGTGGCATTCTGTCTGTGGCCTGTTCACCGGTATTTAAGGGAATTCCCTCTGTTGTATGTGATCCATCAGACCGGGTTTGAGAGTCATTTTAGCATAATTTGTTCTAATTAAAAGATTCCATGTCAGGTCTTCCCTGTGGACCCACCAGCTGCTGCAGCAGGACTCTGGCTTTGGGTAAACACCATCTCACTCCTGCTTGTTCCACAGTGCTCCAGCAGACAGGGCCAAGCAGATGCTTCCAGGCCAGACTGCCCAAAAGCAAGAGAGGAGTGAGGTCAGGAAAGGAGATCTGACCAAGGGGTATCTGACAGACACTTCCCAGGAGCTGGCAGAAGGGCAGGAGCCCAGGCTGCTCCCAAACACTAGAGTACCATGTACCACCTCCCTCCGGTTAGTACGGTCTCACCTTTAGTGCACAGATCCATCAGGGGCCAGCCCCAACCCCCACCATTTTAAAGGAACACAGGAGCACAGGATCCTCTGGGACACTTACGTAAAATATGTGTGTGTGTGTGTGTGTGTGTGTGTGTGTGTGTGTGTGTGCGCGCGCGCGCACGCGCGCGCATAATAAGACCTCCCATCGCCAAACACTCCCCTTCAGTGCTTCATGGCAGTAACCAAGGAGACAAGCATGTGGGCTGTCCATCATGTCTTCTGTTTACTTAGTTGATACCAGACCCTTCTTTTTATGCTCGCTTTCTTCACCACCTAAGCTCACCCCCACGCACACCACTGGTCTCTGGTCTGTGTGTCAAGGTTATCAGCAGCTTTGCCCCATGGCAGTGGTGCAGCCAGGGCCCAGAAGCGTTAGACCTGACCTCCACCAGCATAGTGAAGGGCTTATGTCTTCCGGCCCGGCACTAGAAGTCTGTTTTCTCTGCCCTCCCGTCCACCCTGAATTAAGATTTCAGCTTCAGAGAACTTTTCAATCTTTCCCCTTTGACACACAGGTGCCCCTGGGGCTTCTGCCTCTAAGCAGCTGCGAGCACCTCCTAATTAGATAGATGACTTTGTAGTGGGTAGAACTGGAGGAAGGAGGCGCTGGCGGAATTAAGAGGAGAAGGCAAGAGGAACCCATTCTGTGAGATGGAATGCCCCACTGCTTTATAGCTATTACTGTTGGAGGGCTTTACATTTAAATACCTGAGGTTTAAAATTAAACGTCTAATATAATTTGGCATTGCTAACGTGAGCCCGGCATCTGCCCTCAGAGAAAATCCAGACAGCTCTGTTCAGGGTTTCAAATTGCTGTCTGCTGGCTTGCGAGCAGCACCCGGGATTGGATCCCTCTTCCACTAAGTACCACATGCTGCGCCGTGTAATTTTTTAAACGCCGAGTGTATTCGTCTTGCACTTCTGCACTGGAAAAGGCTGTTCCAGTAGTACATGAAAAATTAATTTTTTTACATTTTTCCTCACTCTCCTAAGTGTTTGACAGAAGTAATTTTTGCAGCAAGAGAGAATAAAAACTGGTGGCTGTAAATTCCTGTCCTGGAACCTCTTGTGTAGACGCTTTATGGACCCAGAATTGATCTACATGTCAGATCCTGTTGTGGTCTCAACTGTTTATCACCGTAATGGCAGCAGTGAGCCCGGGAACACCAACTTATAATCCTGGGTGAAAGGAATTGGTGTTTGCAGTCAATGAAGAGGAGCTTAGCATTATTGATAGATTCAGAACAATTATCTCGGCAACAACTACTGGCTGAGGCTTTCCTCAACCCTTACTGGAAGCCTGTAATTTTTTATTTGTTATTAATCCTCTTCTTACGAGTCATTTTCTCTGGAAGTGTTAGGCAGGAGCGAGCACCCTGCTGCGAGCGGGGGCCCTGGAGGGCCATCTATAGCGGACTTGGTTGTCATCGCCCACTTCAAGGCAAGATGTTTGTTTTAGATGCATCACCTCTGTGCCAAGGGCGAGAACCAATGTCAAGGCCCCCGTACATCAGTCTTCCGGTGTTCTGGAGTGTCTGGCCAGGCCTGCCACTCCCCCCGCCGCCACAAATACCCATACCCTCACCATCCCTTCCAAGTGGCAGCCCTGGCTGATGGCCTCAGCCCTGCTTACCCCTCCTCCCCGACTGTCAGCTTGTTCTGATAGCTCCACCCTTCCCCAGATTGCTTCAGTCCCACAGTTCATCTTCTGCCTCAGTGTCTGGCTGCCGTGGTGAACACATTTCTTCATATGACTTCTCAGCACTCCGCGGTCTCCCTTCAGGCTCCCGGCTTCATGCAGCTTTGGCAGTGTGGAGCACAGACACCATTCGGTCTTTTATGTTTCTACGGGGAAGTTGTACCCGGTGTCTCTGTGTGTGTACTGGTACCCGCGTGCCTGCACGATTCTGGGGGTGGGGCTCCAATCAATTATATGCCTTCCTGCTCAGATCTGTGGTTATTAGTCAGTGTGTCCTGGTCTGGAAGTGCTTGTTTTGCTAATTTTCGAGTCTTTTTCCCATTGTGGAAATACTTTGCATGCCTATTTTAATGCTCCGGAGCTCTGGTGATCGGCTGTGCTTTGTTTTGTTGTTATCTCATAGCTTCTGCTGCTCCCCATCCAAGAAAGGTCAGCAACCTCGAATTTGAGAACAGAGGGGCTCCAGCAATCACTGTGGATAAAGACTATAACTTCTTCAGTGTCTTTGTTGTGTTTTAATTTGATCGTTTGGGGGAGGGGGGCATTTGTTGTTTTGTCTATGGGTATTATACTGGCAATTCTAGGACCTGACCAGAAGGTGGCAGTAGTGTAACACTGCTTAGCTTTGACCAAGTTGTTAACTTAGGCAACTTTAATTGGAGGGAGGGTTAGACCCTGTTTCATGCCTCATGTCTGACATTCATTCCCTGAGAACTGTGACATGCTAAGGCCACACCCTTAGTGAGTACCCACATATTCTTTTCTTGCTGTGGTTTGTTTGTTTTCAAAAACAGGACTCCCATGTAGAATTAAGACATAGTATCCTACAAATTACTTGTCTTTTTTAAAAAAAATATTTGTTTATTATATATACAGCATTCTGTCAGAAGAGAGCACCAGATCTTATTTATAGACGGTTGTGAGCCACCATGTGGTTGCTGGGAATTGAACTCAGGACCTCTGGGAGAACAGTCAGTGCTCTTAACCGCTGAGCCATCCCTCCAGCTCCTACTTGTCTTTCTTGTAGTGCTTACTTTTTTTGGAAACTGTATGATGAAGATATGGGTGTTTGCTCTTCTCCCGTGGACCCTGCAGACCCTCGTCAGTCCCTCCCAAAGCTTCCTGCGCTGGAGAACCGTCCCCTGGTTAGTCAGCCTTCAGCCCCTGTGCGCTCAGATCTCAAAGGCTGACACTCTGTCTCAGCCGCCTGCAGGGCAGGGGTCTGCTCCATATACCATGCTAGGCAGCCTCTAGAAGGATGACCCAGGCTCCCTTCTCTGCATGTGGTCTGAGGGGAAGCAGAAGCTTCCTGGGTAGCCAGCCACAGGGGAAGGGTGGCTTTCTCTCCCTCCTGATCAGAATGCTCGCTGACGTTGTACTCTGCCTCCTTAGTACCGGCTCTCAGCTATTTCCAGCAGTAGCTGCTGACCCAGGAGTAGTAGGACATCCACATGCCACCCCAGTTACCAGGACAGGGATCAGTGACTTGCGTGCCTGAAGGCCAGCCGGCCTCTTAACACTGCCAGACAAAAGTCTAGGAATGTTGGAAACAGATAGCCAATGTCATGGGTCACCATAGCCCTCGTGCTCAGAATCTTCTAGATCACTGGTTCTCTACCAGGAGTGATTTTAGCCACCCAGGGAGTAATCGTGGATACTTGGAGACATTTTTGATAGTAGCAGTGGTTCAAGAGGGGGATCTAATGGATAAGTGCCCCACCACAGAAGAGCTTCATGAGCAGGGGTTAGCTGAACCATATGGCAGGAGTGGCCTGGCCTGGCCTGAGACAGTGTGTGGTCTTTAGGTCTGTGTTTCCTTCCAGCTCCGGCTACCACACTTTCGCAGGCATCAGTAAGAGTTCCTCCGAGGAAATGGAAGCCAACTTCTCTCCTCTGAGAGAGTCACCGCAGGGCCTCGTCGGCAGTCAGTTCTACGCGGCTTCTTCCACGACTGCGTCAACAGAAATGGTGGCATCTGTAGCTCAGTGGCCATCCACTTGCCGCCACCAGTGGACACAGCCTGACATTTACTAAGTAGTTCCTGCTTGACAAGGCCTGTCTCAGTTCGCGTTCCTGTGGCGTGATGAAACACCGTGACCAAAAGCAACTTGGGGAGGAGAGGGTTTGTTTGGCTTCCACATCCTGAGTCAGAGTTCATTGAGGGAAGCCAAGGCAGGAACTCAGACAGGGCAGGAACCTGGAGGCAGGAGCGGATGCAGAGGAGAGCCCATGCAGGCCT